ATAATTATGTTATAGATAAATCTAACGGAGAGTTAAATAGGCAATTTAACCATTAGGATGCGTACAAGTACTTAAGTACAAAGAGTGTGAATATCACTCCAAAAATGACATGGCAATTTTATAATTACTATAACTTTATTTTGGAAACGACGCTTTTAAAACAGCAGACATGCTCTTGCAATGTGTTCATAAAAGTAACATACTGTACAGCCATAATACAATATTAAAACAGAGACTTTTAATACAATAATATACGTTACACAATTACAATTACAAGTTGAATATATCACAGATCCTGTATGTCATTTAACACTTACAGTTTATAACATTTACAGCAAAGCACAATTTATATTGCGGCCAACTGACCTATGCTATTTTAATATTTATAAATAATAATAATCAAATTAATAACATAAGATTTGTATAGGGCTCGCTCATATTCTAATTTAAAGAGCAACAATCATATACCCTATATACGGATTTTAATTACATTTTGATATACATATTTAATTAATTTTTGCTGGTCTTACATATCATTTATATGCAAAAATAACAGGAGCTACTTAAGGGTCTATATGGCAGAAATGTCTAATTGAAGAATGTTTGCCATCGAAGAGCTCTCTCGGTCTATCGGCGAGGATTAAAGAACTGCTCTAAATAGTAAATTGTTACAGTATTTATAATATGAAATTGGATATAAAGTAGTGAAATAATTTTTTTAAAATCTATAAATAGAGTTACATGAAATTCGACTGCTAAAAAGATTAAATGGAATTAAACTATACAGGAGGCCGCTAACTGTATTATACAACACATTAACACGTTAGACACGGAGCGCGCATCGCGTATGACACAAAATGGCTTCTAAATTAAGTCGCAACCATCCATAGAGCTATTAAAATCACCTCATTCTTATTATACCTCTATGCAACCATCGCAACTTAACTTTCTATCTATGGCTCTGACCTCTTGCTCTATATACCGCCCCCTAGAAGATTCTCCAAATAATACTAGGCCTAACATGCTGTTTGTGTTTGCTGGAAAATGCGTCAAGACATTTACCAAAGTCCATGATAGATTGGACTTTACGAACAACCCATTATAATTTATTCAGTAATTAGGTAAGTTGTTTTAATAGTCGAATTTATTTTTCTAGGCCGCTACAAACTGAAACTCCCTAGGCCTACCGTGCCAGCCAACAAACCTAGCCTAGGCCTAGCGCCCAGACAGAAGACTAGTCTAAGTAGGCTTATGCCCTAGGCCTATTTCTAGTACATACAGCTGGGGCTTGGAGGCCTAGGTCTAGCTGGTGTAAGGTTGTTTCGGCATCGAGTCGATTCGGTCCGGGTCGTTTTACGTTTGCTTTTAGTGTTTGTTACTGCTATTATTAGCAGAAAAATATTTCTTCAAAAATACAACTTTCATCCAACAATATGTTTTCGTCCAACAGGCCTCTTCTTATAGTGTCTTCATATGGTTTTAAAAGTAGGTCAAATTACCATGCATAGCATCCTACATAAGTTTTCCTTCCGTAAATCTTGAGAACTCAGGGCTACTGTAAGCTGATTCCACATCTTCCAGTGACAAAAAGCATTGTATTGTAGGATGATTGGTTGCATACTGTAGGAAGACAGGCAGGTTTAACCTGAAAACTACCCTGGTTAATTATTAAAGTTTGTCAATGCAAAGCCAACCCTAACAAATTTTCTCCTGAACATTGCCTTTCAGCATAATCATCATTGACACAACCAATCCTCAACCACCTTGCTTGTAAATATTTAAGAAGTATTTTACTGTAGTGTATTGGATTATATTCATCCAAAGCTTTTTTTTTTTTGAAGTGGATGGATTTATATGCTGTACTGTATTGGATCATATTCATCCAAAGCTTTAGATTTAAGTGACTGTGTACATATTGAAGAAATGATAATTTTGGCATATAATGCCCTGTCTGACAAGAAGAGCAACCGCTCAACGGTCCGCATGTTCCTCCACGCTTAAATACGGTATAGGTGCAAGTTATTATATTGGAAGAGCTCATAAGATAGAAATTTGTAAATAATTAGGATGTTTATTTATTCAAAATAAAATAAATATAATATTTAGAATGTTCATTTGTACAAAATTAAAATATCTTAAAATTTAAAAAAATAAAATTTCTTAAAATTTGGAAAAAAATATTGAATATTTCATTTCATTTCATTTATTTGTCTCAAACAATTAGAATGTACATAAATAGAAACGGCAAGGAACAATCACAAAAGTACAAAAAAACAGAGACAGGACACTCCAAAAGTAAAATCAATCACTGTCGAGTGGAGACCCTTTACAAGAAAAACACAATACATCAATATAAAATTCTTCAGAAAGATAAAAAATCGAAAGATAAATATTGAAAAATAGAAAAATGAGTAAAAATCAATAAATGAGCAAATTTAATTTAAAGGGTATTTGAGATATAAAAATATTCAGATAAGCATTAAAATTTATCTTAAAATATTCAATGTAAAAAAATGTCAAACAAATCATTTAAAATTGCAATACCAAGATGCGATTCAAACTCACAACAAAGTTCTTTAGAACATCCTTAACTGATTGTGCATCCATGCGACGTGTCCTATTAGTGGTAATGGCAGTAATGTACAGTCCTTGCTGAAACCCCTGTTTTTTTGTAGTCCCTGGAGTCCAACTTGAAAAAAGAGCAATGAACGTTTGTTAGAAATCACCTGTAGATGATGTGTACAAAATTTCCTGCATGTCCGTTCCAAGCTGGTGATGCTGGACGCTTTTAAAGTTTTAGTAACAAGAATACAGTAGTAGTGAGGGTCTGGGGTCAGCGCAAGGCGCTGACCCCAAGTAATGTTATACTGTAGTCATGTGTGCCAGTATATGGTCATGATGTGATATCATCATGACCATATTTAGGCATATCACATGTTTCTGTCAACTAAAATTTGATAGTCTTGAGAGAGAAAGACAGGCTAATAGATATTGAAAGGTATACTCTACGATATTCATCATGAAGCACCCCCTCTAGCTGTAGTTAAACCATGAAGTCAAACTTGTCACTCACCAGGCAACATTTTTTCAGTTGGTTTATGCTGGTGATTTATAGTTTATAGTTCAATGAGGAACATGTCAGGTTAAAAAGGCTGCAATTTAGCTTATTTTTATCACTTTAACTTCTGCTTCAACCTGTGTACTTGCAGGTAAATCAAGACAAAATCGTAGTAAAGGTTAGATCTGTATTTTTTACCTTACTCTTGTACAGGTTAAGGTTAGATTTTTTTTTCCAAAAACTTTTTCATATTGTATACAATTCTTTTTTTAGTTGATATTCTTTTTCCTTTTAAATTAGTTTTTAAAACAAGTGTGCTTTTCTAAATTGTTATTCATTCACAAGTGTATTTGGTTGAACCAGTTACCCTGAAAAATCAGAAACAAAGTCAGTATAGAAATTTAATTATGTAATTCCAGTAACATTTATGAACAGGTTACTACTGGTAGTAGTGGTACTGTAGTGTAGTTCATATAAGATTGATTCGTTCTATAATCTAATTCAAATATAATTTGATTTTATTGATAGTGTATCTGATAATTGTACTGGTATGAGTATAGCTATTGCTGTTTTTTTTAAATTTTTTTTTAATTTAGTGTATTTTAAGATGTTCGTGTGGAGCCAGAGAGTTATGGTGGAGCTAATAAAATTTATAATAAAATAAATTCACACACAGCACATATGAGGCTTGCCATACGAAAACCAACATCAGTTACTGAAATTGACTTACTACAGTATTGCCAACGTTATGCGTAAGATTATTATGGCTTTTCTGTACTAAAGTATACAATACTGCCCCATTCTTATGCTAATTACTCAATTAACAATTGGTGACTGTATGCTGATTTTGGGGTGGCAAGCCTTATAGATTAAATAAGTTAATTATCTTTTGGTGGATGTTTATAACTATTTAATGTGTATTTATGATGAGCATTTAATGTTTTTAATTGAATTTGTTAAAGTTTTCTTTATTTACGATAATGATAATGTAGCGCTATTTCATTAAGATTTCATTAAGATCAGAGCGCAAGTGTTATACTGTTTAAAAAATTTATCAAACCCTGAAACAAGAAATAACCTAACCAAAGACAAACCCAAAAAGAAAAAAATATAACAACGAAAAGGATTCAAACACCATTGCACTGATAAGAAAGTTACAGTATACCTATTACTGTAAATACATTATTGTAGAAGTGGCCTACTGTAGACAGTATTATTGTTAAATCTGGATCTCTTTGGACACCAGTCCATTTTCTTTTATTGAAAGAGTATTTCCAGAATAGAGAAAGATTTGAATTGAATTTTGACATTTTTATAGAAATTTTCTATATTTTATGACAGAAAGAAATTACAGCATAGATCTAATAAATTCAGTATTGTAGATGAGCCAATAGCTACTGTAGTTAAATTTAAAATAATATTATATAAATGGCATACCGGTACTGTAATAATTATTTTTTTCTGATCGTCTTATGATGAGAAACAAAATATTGAATATTGTAGTCATGGTTGCTAGATTCTTTTTGACATTCTAAAAATATGATCAGTTTTACCAGGGAATTTCACTGTTCCCTGGTTTTACTTACTACCACTACAGTAACAGTATTACTTATTCCTTTTAAGATATTTTAATATTTCTTATTTCCACCAAACAATGAAGTAGGCATTATATATGTGGTAAAGCTTTAAAATCTTAATGCGTTCATTATACATTGACATCTTAATTTCTTTCTTTTATTAAATAATTGGTACTGTAAGCTTCTGAAATAAGACTCACTGGCGAAATACTCTGACAAGTAACTGTGTACATATTATAATGATGATAATAACATTAATAATAACAAAAACAATATAAATTTACTGTAATAAATGATATCCAGTTGGTGATGTTGTGGTGATGTGTGTATACAGTACTAAACCAAGGCGCATGTTCCATGCTTTGGTGAAAAAAAAAAAATAAGCACCACGCTTAAATGAAAAAGTGAGAATTGTTAAAGCTTACAATGTTGATACCAGTAATCTACCTATGGGGCATGCTGGGAAAGGAGAACTTCCCCCAAAAAAAGCTTGCCCTCCTTAACCCAGTCTTTCCCCATTGTATATGTCTTAAGCAAAAGGTTGATGCACAAGTAGCTAAAAATCACCTCATCACCTTATTTTGTTACCTAGTGCCCCTGCCCCTCACTTAACCATCATGTCCCACTCCACCTTTGTGCCCCTTCAGTCCCCTCTCCCATTTCTAAACTCCTAGATACTGTATACAGTACCACTGGTTTGCACCAGGTTTAGAATTTGTAAGGCTTCAGTCATCCTTAGCCCGCTAATGATGTTCTACTGATACCATACTAGACAGTTTTAAATATTTCAATCAAATATGATCAAAAATGTTCCAGCATAGCATGGTATTTTTTGGAGGGGTTGAACTATATACCAAATAATAACTTGCATCATAAGCACTTTACACTTTATCGAAATCCTGGTGAGGAGGGCAGGTGTAAATTTAAAAAAAAGAAAAACTCCAGCAATACCACTAATCACATACAGTCAAATACTGTACATTTATGTAGCTAGTTGATTAATTTTACTTTTTAACATCACAAAATGTCCGTCTTTGGAATCTTATCTTTAGAATTACCGTATACTGTATCTATCATAAAATATTAATGTCTGTATTTTATGTTTTTATATTTGTAGAAGAACATGTACTGTACGCAACAGTGATTTAGTTCCCCCTGTTTCATGTTTGTTGCATTGTTTTTGTATTGTTATAATAATGTACAAGAGCTGTATGATAAAGTATTCAGGGTTGTAGCTGTAGATAACTACTTTAAGGGTGGGTGTAGACGTTTTAAGGGGGTGGGTGATAACAATTGGTAAATATATTAAATGCTTGCGGTATACCACTTAGATAGTTCTGAAAGAACTGTTGTTTCGTTGAGAATATTAATAAATTCTAATAATAAGAGTGCATTTGAAGGATGGGCAATGGGGTTAATAAATGTGGGTGGGAGGGTCATGAAATTAGCTTTTGACTGGGTGGAAAACGTCAAGGTTGGGTGACTTTGCCCGTAATAACTATTATCCCTGGGTGTTTGATAGCTTCTGTCAGGGTCTGTATGGAATTGTGTCAGTGCCTAGCCTGAGGATTGCTATTTATGGAAAGATATGTGATAATTTCCTCTTCGCAACTAAATGCTGATGATACAGTAAGTAACAGTATTGAAAATACACACATTTTTCATTTCCATTCCAGGTTTCATAATTTATTGGTCAGAAATTCTACACAAAAAAAAACACAATGGAGCAGTACAGAAATATTTTTACCTTCTTATGTAGCATCAGTGAATGCCTATTTTTTGGAGGCCTTGCATATGGTTGGGCTAGTTTGGTTTATGTGGTGAAAGATCGTGGTTTTTTCAGCGATGAATGTGACCAGACTGCAATTACGAATGATTCATTTGATTCGTGCGGAGTTCTAGTTAATGCGACAGAAGGGCAATGTCCAGAACAAGATGCTCGATTACAGCTCGTCTTCACCGTCGCTGCATTTACAATTAATGCAACTTCGTTTATCATGGGACCAGTATACGATAAATACGGAACCAGATTGGTTCGGATTATTTTCAGGTAAGTTATGATAATGAGTATATAAATTGTGCTCAACTCAGATGGGGCATCCCCTGTATGCTAATGCCAGGGCCTCCAGCTCTCAGGATAATCATGGTCGTTAATCTGCTTTTGCCTCACATGTTGTTCCAATTAATTAAATTATTTATTTATTTTTCTTCGAATAGTAGATTCTGAAGGGCCTCGGACCTCGTTTGTTATGCCACTTCCACTCCTGGGTGTTGTACATACCGTATTATTTATAATAAACGTTCCCCCCTTAATAAATAACCCCTTTTTTTTCATTTGCCAATTAACCTTTCATGAGTGCCCAACCAATTTAAACAGAAACAGGTTTCTTGCATTTAGAATGGGTAACCATTATTTACAAATATTCAAATATTTACAAAATTTTAAACTTTATCAAACAACAAACAATTTGAAATGCTCATATTCTTCTTGTAACGCGCAACGCATTACTGTATTAACTAATGCAGCCTGCCTGGGGAAATCCAAAATTCATCCCAGCTGTATGTATGTTAAAATTTCCGGCTGTGCGAGTTTCAACAATCACTGTAATTAAGTTAATTATTTAAATTTGATACAATAAAATACAAGAGCATGTATCTATTATTCAATCAATAATTATGTTATTAATATAAGCCAATGTTGAGCTAAAAATATTGGTCATGAAGCACAGTGAGTACAATGGTGACCACGACCAAACAAAACAGAAAGAAGAAATACTATTTGATGCAATGTTTACGCCTAGGCAGTTTGACAGATTTCTTTCTACAGTTAAATTAAACCAAAGTATTACAACTTGTGTTTTTATAGGACACATTAATTTCAAAAGTTTTTATTCTAAAATCATAAGATATTGTTTTGAGCGAAGCTGGTTCAAATAGGAATGTTTCAAACAATGTTTATGATTGAATGAACGTAATATGAAAATTATTTAAACAACCAAAGCCATTACTCGAATGTCGTAGAAAATGTGGGAATCATTTACAGCACTGTAGCGAGTATAATTACAAATACTAGGACAACAAACATTTTGGCAAATTAATTGGGACTAACCTAGACTGTTAGCCATCTGGAATTTTTTAGGAGTCTAGGTTGATGACCGGATGGGTGTATAGGCCCACCCTAAATTTTGTATAAAATTTGCGGCTCATACAGACTTGTTCCTCAACAAAAAACATCATTTCCAATCTACTAGGAGTGCAATCTCTCAGGTTTCCCCATCAGGGCACCCCCCTTCCCCTGCCTTCTGTCTTGACCTGGCTGACCTGCATGTGGACTGGACCAGTGTAGCAACCTGTTAGGGGTGATGATTCACTGTTGGTCTGTGTGAAATAAATAAAAACAGTATATCACCCTTTTAAGTGTGCAATGCAGGTGCGTTATTTTCTCATTTGAGAATAGTTTGCACTCAGTTGAAAAGTTGCACATCCCTGAAGTGTCGTATGAAATGCATGCATAATATGCAACATTAAACATAGGCACGGATGAGAGCACTTGAATTATGTTATTAAAAATATATTTAGAAATATTTATACATGATCGAATGAATGTTTGGCCAAAGAATTATGTTGGCAGATTGTTAAATATTTAACAATCGGAGTTAGTAGGCCAAATTTGACAGATAAATGGTAACCACATGGCTAGACTCAAGGTTAGGTTATAAAATGTAATATCAAAAGCTTGAACAGTTGCCGTTGAAAACAGTAGGTATTATGGGCTTTGGTAAAAAATATATATATATATATTTTTTTAAAGCGCACCCAAGTTGTAATAGTTCCAGACATTTCCCTCTACAGTATGTTTAAATGCATATGATTTCAAGTTGCAATATTTACCATTGTTGCAATCCACAATATTCCTTTTATTGTCCATAAAAAATCAGTGATCCAAAAAGACTTTTTTTTTTCACTGATACAAACCATGTGGCTACTCTGAAATTTAAAGTATTTTGTTTGAACAATACTTGTAATATTATGGTCTTTCTCGTCTCTTTGCAATGAACAATAAACTGCCTTTGATACATTTATTATGCATTTTTTTTTCAGTATTCATAATTGTTTGTTTATAAATAAAAAAGAATTAAATCTTTATCTGCCACAAAAATATTTTCATTACAGTTTCCCACTTTTTAAATGATATAAGTTTGTTAACTTAACATAGACGATCTGTTGTATTAACTACTAGTCTGTAAACCAGTGGAAATTAAATTTGATTTCATCTGGTCATTGTTTCTCTCCAGCTTTTTAATGGCTCTAGCATTTCTACTGCTGGCTTTCAGTAAGCCTGAGGAACCGAACATCTTATTTCCTGCCATGATGTTTATGGCAAGCGGTGGAATCATGATTTTATTCACTAATATACAGGTAATTTGCTCCTCATTATACACGCAATCAAAGCAGCACTGAACATGCTATCGTGGTCGAAAGCGGTGAACTGTGACAAAACATTGATTGTGTTTTTGGTAGACTAATGTAATGCACTTGCTGCTTTCATATGCTGCCTTTATCCTAAATATTGAAACATGTATTTCTTGAACATTTCAAAAAAATAGATTGTTATTCATCTTTAATGTATTGATGGAAATGTCTGTATTACTCTGAATCAGAGTCATAGTTCACTTATTCATTGACACGATGTCAAGAATAGTCTTAATTAAATTCAATACATCCTCAAATTGTATACAGTATGATACAGTACATCATAAAATTACAATGCATTAAGAAAAAAAAAGTTAATTATCAAAATCAATATTTTGTGATGTTAGAAATAACATTATTTTTGTAGGCAGTTTAATTTTAGATGGAACATATCTTGCTGTAGTGATTTTGCTTTTGCTTATCTTAGGTTGGGAATCTGTTTGGTCGATGGCGTTCAACCATTGTCACAGCGTTAAGTGGTTCATTTGACTCTTCTGCTTTTGTCATGTTGCTCGTGAAGGTATTTTTGTTATTTGTTAAAGTGGTATTTATATAGCATCTAATCCTTTAACAAAGCGCTGTGTTTTCCCTGGTCATTGAGTCTACATGCCTCAAGTTTTGCTGCTATATTGGCGCAGTAACAGACAAGTACCTATTTATACTCATGGGTGGAGAGAAGCAATGCAGATAAAGTGTAAATGTAAAGTGATTTGGGGATTTTCATAGTGTGTAATCTTTTATTTTGATCGCATTTTAAATATTGCATCCTCACATGCCTTTTGAAGTATAAACATCATTTAACTTACCATTATATAGTCTCCTGAAATTTTAGATATGGCTCACGACCAAAGCAGAGGTTGTTAATAATAATTTTACAGGGTCGCCTGGTATTTATAATGAAATAAAGGACACTAATTTAATACTACAGTACGTGTGATATCTTGGCTTGCGTATTGCTGTTATTGACCGCACCCGGTAACAAGACATCAAGGCCTTTAGTCACCGTATGTGTTAAGTTGGTTTTGTAAACTAATAGAATGGAGTTCTTGTCTTGTGTTGCCACAGATAATTCATAGCAAATTACTGCACTACTTAAAGCTTAAAATGAGTCATTTTTTCATCTTGCTTACAATTAAAATGTATAACAGACTATTTGCTAGATACATTATGAAATTGAATATGACCTTCAGTGAGCTTTCATTTTTTTAAATAATTTGCATGTGTTCTTGTCCAACAGATAGGTTATGAAGGTGGTATCTCGATGCAAACGTCGTTCATCATCCTAGCCATTGCTACCCTGATGTTCAATATTAACACTTGGATTTTGCTGCCAATCAAACATATACCATGGCCCCTCCCTAGCAACTGGGGGAAGCCTGATGCAGCGGTTAATGGAACGAAAGGAAAAGTTGTCATAGAGGAGGAGATGAAGATGAATAGTGAGTCAGAGCAAGTAAATTTGGATCAAAAAGGTAAACAAAATTATCATCTTTAATAATTTATATTCTTTGCTAATAGTAATATTGTTACTGCTTAAATTTTCTGTTACTGCCAGAAGTACATCATTAAAACTTCAAAACCAAAGTAATTAAAATAGTTTTTGGATTACAGACAATGCTCATGACAGCACAAGTATGCCACAATTTTCCGATCTCTTGGACCGTGAGTATCCGAACGTGAGAACATGCTTGGTGTCACCAATGTACATCCTATTGCTCCTCTGGTTGACTGTGATCCAGTTACGCCACTGGCTTTTCCTGGGTACCTTCAATCCCTGGATTAATGGATTATCCTGTGATAAAAATGAAGGTTAGTGTTATCTCGGAGCAGTTGTGATTTCAAAGTTAGGACTAGAATCTCATAACAGCAATTAACTTTTTTTTATTTTTGTTGTTGAGACAGAGGTGCGAAAATGAGCGGATGATATCAGAAAATTAGTTTTTTGATATAAGAAAGTGAGTGGGAGAGGAGAAAATGAGTGGGTGTGGTGAGAAAATGAGTGGGTCATATGAGGAAATGAGTGAGTGATATGAGAAAATGTCACTGTGTGATTTGAGAAAATGAGTGGGTGATATGTGAAAATGTGTGGGTGATATGAGAAAATGAGTGAGTGATATGAGGAAATGAGTGAGTGATATGAGAAAATGTCACTGTGTGATATGAGTGGGTGATATGTGAAAATGTGTGGGTGATATGAGAAAATGAGGGGTGATATGAGAAAATGAGTGAGTGATATGAGAAAATGTTACTGTGTGATATGAGAAAATGAGTGGGTGATATGTGAAAATGTGTGGGTGATATGAGAAAATGAGTGGGTGATATGAGAAAATGAGTGAGTGATATGAGAAAATGTCACGGTGTGATATGAGAAAATGAGTGGGTGATATGTGAAAATGTGTAGGTGATATGAGAAAATGAGTGGATGATATGAGAAAATGAGTGTGTGATATGAGAAAATGTGTGTGATATGAGAAAATGAGTTGGTGATATGCGACAATGTGTGGGTGATTTGAGAAAATGAGTGTAATATGAGAAAATGAGTGAGTGATAATGAGAAAATTTGTGTGACATTAGAAAATGAGTGGGAGATATGTGAAAATGTGTAGGTGATATGAGAAAATGAGTGGGTAATATGTGAAAATGTGTGGGTGATGAGAAAATGTGTGGGTGATATGAGAAAATGAGTGTGTGATAATGAGAAATTGAGTGGGTGATATGAAAGAGTGTTTTGAGACATGTTACTACTAGAGTCAATTGGGAATATTTTAAACAAGTCACCAATTAGAAGTAATTTTTACAGTAGGCCTATAATGGATAATAGGCCTATAATAAAAATCAATCAAAAAGTCAATTAAAATGACCGTCTCATCATTGAACAGACTAGTTTCCTTCACTAAATATTTAGCGAACGACTAGGCATACTCCTCGGGGACCAGAGTAGGTTGCACTTCGTGCTGGTTTGCCATTGTACGTTATCCAATGACCAGAGGTAATAACGCTCAGCGACTTTGATCATTCCTTGGAATTGGTGCTATATAAATATTTGAGTATAATTATTATAATTTACGTAACTTGAATAAATGTTGTTTATATTTTTTGGTTTTAGACGTGGTAGCAGCCACCAGAGTCGTCTTTAGAATATTTTAAATACTTATATAATTACCTTAAATAATATTCGAAATACTCATATTC